TTTCCTTTCTGTTTCCAAAATACCCATCCACCATCGCCTCGAACCACCCTACCGTCCATCCACCCCTTCCGGGTTCGAAGAGGGGGTGGTTTTGTCCCCAGTCGAGACGAGGCCGAAGGATTTCGTGAAAAAAAGTTCGAACAGTTTGCTTAACTCCTCTGGGTTACGCGTCGATAAGTGTCACGAAACACGACATCGTTCCCTTCCCCCCTTCCCTCCCTCCCCCTTTTCACAGGATCCCCTCGTCGCTTCGCCGACCGACGAGGTTCAACGAACCCGGGATGATGACGTGATACTGCCATGTTGGGAATTTATTATCTGACTTCTCTGGTTGTCCAACGACCCCTCTTCGCTTTTTGTGTATCGCGACGCGGCCGGCACTCCGCTCCTCGTTCTTTAGTTCGTTTCCGATTCCGACGGGGGAGGATCGTCTTGGAACGCGTGGACGTTGGCAACCACGTGGCGGCGCGTGGTGGATCGTCTCTGCGTGCGTGCGTGCATTTTCCAACGGTACCAGGATACGGCGAAACGGATACGGTGGCGGATTCTAGGTTCGTCCAATTTTCTTCCCTTTTTCTTTGGAATTTGAAAATGGGGGAGGAAGGGAGAGTGACGTCGGTTGGTTGGTGGTTTTTGGTTTGGATAGAGAGATTTTTTGATTGATAATGTATAGGAATAATTATTCAAGTATTATTTTAGTTTTGAGTGGATTTAGAATTTTCTAGTCTGGATGGAAGATAGATGATGGATGTGTAATGAATCGAGTTTTTGATATGTGAATAGATTGATATAATTTTGGTCGACAAAAGAGGGGGATGTGTACTTTCTCTTAGGGGAAATTTAATTCAAATTTATGAGTGGGTTTGTTGAGGGAGATTGGGTAGAATGAATCATCGAACGATGTGAATCGAAGTGATAATATAATGAGGGAAGAAGAGTGGACGACATAGTGAATTTTTATATTTAAAAATCGTCCTAATTTTTCTTTTTTGAAATCTTTTCTAATTTAATAGAAGGTATCAGCGACGTATTGCATTACATTTTGCAATATCTTCGCGTAATTTAATACAGATTCACAAAGTTTTTCTCGGCGAAGAATCTTTGACCTTTAAACACGTGGTTATTCGTAACGCAATGAATTCCACTAATGCAAGGGAATCTTTTCCACCAGCATGTAATATTTCTCGGTTAATTAGTAACTTTATACGTTACACACAATTCCAATCGAACGTCTAATGTCGTATTACCGGTTTTTAATTAAACATTCCATACAAATATATATATATTTATACACGAGGTCGTTGACGTTTTGTTTATATGAAACACGAATAAAGATCTTCTCTTTGAAAAATTCGCGATTGAAATTCTATCTAGTGCAGGTGTAAAAATGAATGGTAGTCCGATATTTACTAGGAAATGCTCGTGTTACTCGTAAACAGTTTATATTTATCACGATATATTATCACGAGCAGAGTCGTGTTTCGTTTATCTCTCTTATCCGCGATAATTGTGGCGCCATCGTCGAATTGCTTTGTTCAAATATTTTTATTTATAGCCTAGAGAATATGCATATACTCTCTCGTTACATAATATTTCCATAAAGAGTTATCCCTTAAATAATACCAGTCGAGTGTTCTTTATAAAAGTTCGAATTATTTCATTTCGCCTAAATAAATAAATTTTACGTGCGAAATCAAAAACTTAATACGTTAACCCAGACAGATATAAAATGAACGCCACGTTTCCAAAATGAGTTCGTCCACTTCGCGAACGATTCACTTCCCTCTCTTACGAGAGAGGCCAGGCTTTCCTATTCTCCTTGAAAACCCATTCGAAAGTCGCGCGCCTTTATATGGGCTCGCGCCAGTGAAGATGTTCCCAGTCCGCCTTAATTGACGGCCATGAGTGTACACGGCGGCGCATGCGCAGCTTTCGAACGGCCTTGCAGAAATCGTTTTCCTGTCCCTGATCGAGTCGCAAAACATCCCAGAGCCGACTGAAAGCCGATCCAACGGATCGAAAGCTGTTCCCCGCCGCGTTTCTCGCCGTTTCACGGGGGATTTCTATCGATCCTCGGCCTGGTTATACTGGTTTCGTTTTTGCACTTTGTTGGAAAATTATTTTCGAGCGGAAAGGACAAGGACTCTCTCGTTAGATATCGTTCGAGAGAGGAGAAGGGAGAAATATATCTTGAATTTTGAATTTTGTTTTCTCTGGTAGTATCTTTTTTTTTTTTATTATTGAAGGTAGGTTTTAACATTGAAAAAATTTTTAAAAATCCTTCCCTCTATTAAATATAATAGAATTTTAAAAGTGTCTAATTGAGATTGAGATAGGAGGAAAGGAAAGTTTCGATTGGTCTTCTCCCCAAGGAAGAAGTTTCGATTCCAAGTGTGCACGATACTTTCTCATCTTCGAAACCGTTCAACTTCCAAGTAATTTTGCATCGAAATGAATCGTCGTCGAGACAATCGAGACCGCCACGAACGGAAGTTCAATTTACCATCTTTTACCGGAGAAATTTTAATGAAAGAAATAAATTGACTTCTCGAAAACGATCATAAAATAATTTAAACCGATCACGCGAATGAAACTCGTCAAAAATTGTACGCGAGGGACAGAAACTTGATATCCATTCTTCCGTAACGTTCACTTTATAATAGCAATCGTTGTGCGTACAATTCGTTAAAAATAATTAAAACCATCTTTCATCCGTCGACAATTAAAAATTATTAAAATTATTCTATTGCAAAAATCATTTCACGCACAACTTTTTCCATTTATTCGATTCGATAAAAAAAAAAAAAAAAGGATCTAAAGAACGATATTAAACTAATCGAATGGCTTAATCTGCCAATCAAAAGGAACTTTAATCGAAAGAAACGTCGATTATACTCCACGATCGACATCTTTTCCAATTGGAATCGAACTTTTGCCCGATACGAACATATTACGACATGCACAGGTTTGACAACATAATTGAGATTAATACGAGGATCGTGCAATTTCTTCCCTCCGAAGTACGATCATTTTTAATCGAGAGAAACACGATCCGTTATTCTTCGATCCTCTCCACTTTTCTCCTCCGGGCGGAAGACAAGGGAAGACAAGTGGCTGGCGATTACGAAATCGACTCGCGTCTTTTATTAAAAAAAAAAAAAAAGAAACCAAAAAATAATTGAAATCGTCACGAAATAATTTCGTTCGCCAATTGTTGAATAGAAATAATTATCGTTGCAACGATTCAAAAGCGTTTACGTCAACTTGGATCGTTTCTTCGTTAAACATTTCCTCGAATGAAGGAATTGAGAAATTAATAACAAGGGAAATATATATCATGTTTAATTTCGATTAATGTAGAACGATTTGTAAAATGGATTTTTAAATGTGAAAGTGAAAGAGATCGAAGTGGTTACGCGTTGAAATTTTTACGTTCTGAGAGGAGGATGAATAATTTGAATAATTGATTTTAGTAATTGTTGCAAATACGATGGTACGATGTAATACTGGTGAAATGCAATAGAATCATTCCATTTTATTAAATCTGTTAATAAGTCTTCTCCTGTGTTTCCAAATCGATGATTACGATTTTTTTTTTTTTTTAAAAATACGCAAGATACATCTGCTTATGATTTCCAAGCCACATGGTGTTACAAACAGTTAATAGATTAATCAATTTCACTTTGGAAGGGTTTTTTATCAAAGAATCCTCTGAGGCACAGCTGTTAGACGTATAGACGTCCTAAGTCGTCTCTTTCTTTGCCTTTCTCCACGACGAACATCGTGACACGTTGCGAAACAGACTTTTTGCCGAGTAACAACTGGATGATCCTCGTTTTTACACTCGTTGAAATCTCTGCCGGTGATTTTCCATTGAAACCGAATAGACAGATATTGAATTTTCATTTCGATCGAAAGAAGAATCTGTACAATTTACATATATTTCTTTCCTCCTCCCCCTCTTTCGTGGATAATTGTCAACGTTTTTCTTTCCCTCTTCCAGAGAAGAGATTATCTCTTCTATAAATATAAGAATATTTATAGATTTATGTAAGAATTTATATAAGAATATTATGAAATTTTGAAAAGAAGAGTCATTAAATTCGATAATTTGTTAATGATTATTAAATAATAGCTAAAGAAAAAACTACTACTATTTCAAAACAGGCTAACAAGAATAATTAAACTCGCGTTAGATTGCTTACTCTGTACCTGATTTCTAATTTGTTCTACTGCACACATTATGCAAAGAATTAAACGATTGGAACGAATGGAATCGTGTTAAATCATCCGAACAAACCAGTGAATTCCACTCGATAATTCTGATACGTTAAATAAATTTTCGAAAGATTTTGTAAAACGATTTGCCAACAATCAATTATTCGACACATAACTTCCATACTTTTATGGAAGAGATTAATTCGATTCTTGCGTTTTCGATGGAAAGAGAGGGAGAAAGAGAGAGAGAAAGGAAGGAGATTTAATTTGAAAGCGAGCCAGATCTTTCAGTCCGATTCGTGGTGTCGGTCTTTAATTGCTGTCGCGAAATAACTTCGATGGCACGTCATTGTTATTATGGAGGCGAGTGTTTGTCAGATGGTTGCCCAGCCAGCTGGAATACGTTAAATAGTTTCGAAATTATTCGCGATTGTAGATTTATGCGGAGATTACGGGCGCGTTGAATATTTTCGAGACGAGGCCCTTCCCACGATCGAATATTTTTTATACAAATTCCTTCCTGGTAATAACAATCTTTCTATTGCACGATCTTTCCTAATTTCTAATTAAATAAAAAGAAACTTTTCTTTTCAAATCGAAATAACAACATCGATCTTTCTAAACTTTTTATAATTCTATATATATATTTGCAAGAATCAATATTTACTCGAAATTCAATTCAATCCAATATTCGATTATCGATCGAATTAAAATTAAAAGATCAAGATTCGAAGAAGAGAAAATGAAAATGAAATTCTAAATCGAACGTTGGTTTGTTCCAGAGTGGAAAGCTCAGCGTTGCAGTTGGTGTACCCGCTGGATTCTCGTCCGGTGCAGCTAATCTTCCGGGGGTTGCAGGTGGTCAAGGAGAAACGATCCCTCCTCCGGGATGTCTCGGGCGTTGTTAAACCCGGCGAACTTTTGGCCGTCATGGGCCCCTCAGGTAAGACGATTTCGCGAAATTAAGAATCCTTCTCCTCCTTCTCCTTCTATCTTTTTCTTCCCCCTTCGAAAGATAATCCTTCCACGGATTGGTCTCCGGAGAGGGGTGAAGGTTCAATAGTTTATCCCCTTTTGGAACGGGGATGGAATTGATTCGATTCGGAGATAAAGTCTCCCGTCGGGGAGAAGGATTTGGGTATCGTATATTTCATTTCATCTTTCGTTCCCCAGCAACCGGTGGATCTTCCACTTGGCAGAGTGGTTTCAAGGGGTTGAGACGAGTTAAAGAGACGAGAGAATAGTGGAATTTGGATATTTCCAAGAAATCTGTCGACGATCGATCCTAATATATTTTTTGAAAAAGGAAATCGCTGAACTTCGAAATCGAGAAAAGAGATAATTTACATTCGTAATTTAATCGCGTGCACACAAGTGGCGAGAAAAAAAGTGAAGCACGATGCTAAATTCGTACTAAGTCCTTCGCGGATGAAACAAGTCATCGTTGATGAACATCGTTGCGAAACGCGGTTCAACCCGGTTCCCAAATAGATCTCGAGGGGGAAAGGACGGACGAGTTACGAGCGCGGGACACAGCCA